ATAAGAAATTTACCAAACTACCCTTATTTGATTAATTAGTTTATAATTTTCTTTTTAAAATCTGATTGGTTCCTTTAACCACACAATGATTATCCATCCACATATAAACCTAGTTCTCTCTCTCTCTCTCTCTCTCTCTCTCTCTCTATATATATATATATATATATATATATATATATATATATATATATATATATATATATATATATATATATATATATATATATATAGCGTAAAGTGAATATACCTAACAACCTTATATAAGCTTAGGTACCTAACCACATTATACTATATTGTTTTGCATTATATTTCAATTGCAATCGTCTAAGGTTCTTAAAGTTCAACTCTTAACTTGATTTACTTCCAAGATTTTCAGATATTCACTATTATATTCTTCCTTCACCATTTGATTTGTAACGGTAGTATATGAAGCTCACCAGGGGGTCTCCGATAGAAAGACGTCATTTGAAGGATGATAATGCTGAAAGTCCAAAGATTTTGGAAGCAATCAAGTTATGAGGTTGAATTTTAAGAACTTTGGGTGATTACAATGTAAATATGATACAAAATTACACAGTATGATGTGGTTAGGTACCTAAGCTTATATAAGGTTGTTAGGTACATTCACTTTACCCATATATATATATATATATATATATATATATATATATATATATATATATATATATATACCCTTAAGGGTATATAATCTTAGGGTATATAATCTTAGGTATATAATATATATATGGGAAAAGTGAATATATGGGAAAAGTGAATACACCCTTAAGGGTATATAATCTTAGGTACCCAAACCCAATATAAATAGTCGTTTTGTTTGATATATTCATTATAATGTTATTAAACTTCAACCCCTAACTTGATTTACTTTGAAGGTTTTCGAAATTTCACTATTGTGTTCATCTTATATCACATCTTTTTGTCGAACGCTTACTAGGTTATATATATACATACATACATATATATATATATATATATATATATATATATATATATATATATATACATATATATATATATATATTATAGTTTAAAATGAAAATTGTTTAAGAGGAAGATAAATGTGAAATTTATAAAAATCTTAGAAGTAAATCAAGTTAGAAGTTGAATTATAAGAACATTGGACAATTACAATGTTTATATATGATGAAAAATAATATAGAATTGTGAGTTTTGATACCTAAGTTTATATACCCTTAAGAGTACATTCACTTTTCCATATATATATATATATATATATATATATATATATATATATATATATATATATATATATATATATATATATATATATATATAATATATATATATATATATGTTCAGTTTTAATCACAATTTTATTTTTGTTCCTCATTTGCCAGTATATTTTAGAAAATGTTTTATTTGTGGGCATTTGACTGGTTATGAACAGGTCAAGTTGGCATGTCGGTTTTGTATTTTCTTGGTTCTCCTTTTGCCCCAACATTTATACATGGGTTTGCATTTAGCTTCAACATTTACATATGAGTTTACATTTAACCTCACCATTTTTTGTTTCCCATTTGCCATTACTATATAGAAATTTTTTCATTTTAACACTTGGTTAATCACAAATAGATATTTAAATATTTGGTTTCTCAACAAATATCATTAAAAATAACCAAATGTTTGTTTAGATTGGCTACGAATGAATTAACAATTTTGATTAACTCAAAGATTAGAATATCATATTGTTTATTAGATTTCACAGACTCGTGTCTTACAATAGGTATTTATTCATCCATTTTAAAATACATATGTATATTAAATTCAATTAACACTGATAATAATAATAATAATAATAATAATAATAATAATAATAATAATAATAATAATAATAAATTGTTGACTTACTAACTAACACGCTTCGTGTCTTAAGGATAAATCACAATTTCAACTCTTTAGACATATTTGGTTTCTCAACAAATATGTCATTAGAAATAGCAAATTGTTTCTTATATAAGTTACGAATGAATTAACAGTTATTTCTTTTTGAGAGACAGGGCATGTCACATCGTTTATTAGATGTTTACGACTTGTGATTTACACTAGGTCTTTCTCCATTTTAAAATGCATGTGTACATTAAAAATAACCAAATGTACACTAGTCATATTTTCGAATTTTGTCTTTGTTTTTTCATTTTTCATTTTAAGTTATTACGTTTTAAAATGCCTATACGTTGCTAGTCAAGGGATAAAATTAAATGTTTTCTAAAAAGTAATGGCAAATAGGGAATAAAATAAATGTTCGACCTAAATGCAAACTCATACGTAAATGTTTGGACTAAATGTAATCTCATTTATAAATGTTTGTGAAAAATGCAAACCGAGAAAAATATAAAATCGACACATCATCATGACATGTTGGTGGCCGGTCAAAGACCCGAAAATTTAACGTTTTCTAAAATATAATAGCAAATGAGAAACAAACAATTAAAGTTCGGGTTAAAATAAACCAAAATTAAATATAATGGTTTTTGTAGCATAAACCCTATAACTATCACGTTGAAAACCTTATGTTTTTTCTTACAATCATTGTCAAGCTTAACATTGAAGTTGTCAAGCTCAACATTGAAGTTGGTTTTGAGTCCATTTTGAGCTTTACATCCACTGCAGCCTTTTGTTTTTTTTTTTTTGTGTTTTTTTTTATTTGTCTCTCATTATGTAACACCCGAATTTTCTAATATCAATTAAATGACAAATAATCATTCCAACATCTCATAAGATCATATTTAAACTTACTTATAGACTAAGCTACATCGGAAGCAAAATAAAATAAAATCTTCAATTGAACAACTTCAGGTGTTACGGCTTTCCGGAACTCCTTTGTTGTCTTGTTGATAAATCCACCTCCTTGACCTTCCTACTTCCACTTGCTAAATAGTTTACTGGGTTGCGCACATTTAATGTTTCTAAATGGGTAAGCCTAGGTCCTAGTGAGTTCGTGTCGACATACATGTCCATCACTTAAGAAAACAAAAAAGTTTTATCATATAGTTTCAATAACTAATACAACAAACATATCATCCGCTGACATAATTTAGGGGAACGATTAATTATGCAGAGAAAGAAACAAATGTTCATTTCCCTTCTCCTTGAGACAATTCATCATCCATTGTACTTAAGTATTTTAAATATCCAAGGAAATGAGTATGATTCTCAATTCTCATCCCTACCGATCATACACATTCGTCATGCTCACGGAGATTATACACTCACTCATTCCCGCTAAACATGCCATCCAAATACACACACAATAGATAACGAATCCAAAATAACATTTGTACACAACCATACTTATCATAAAACATACTGTAAATAAATAAGGGTTTTTGACACTGTAGCACATCAATGTTTGGTCAATTTGCACATTTAGTCACTTAAGTTTTTTTTTGTGCTTAATTGATCCTTAATGTTAGTAACTACCGGCTAATTAAAGGAATGTGAGCAAATATTACCGGTTTAAGGGTCATCGCTGATGTGTATTGGCTTATGTGGACAAGCATTTGACCATGTAATCTGTAACGTGGAAACCTTCCTTAATTGAACCTTATATTGAACCATCGAGGATACATTGTAACCCCAAATTAGGTCAGTGCCTCCCTTCCGAAACTCTACACTCAATCGATATAACTAGAACAATGTCTGCCTCTTCCAGTCGATCAATCAAGCTCATGCGTGTCGGAAACCTTCATGATGATGATCCTTGTCCACCTTGCGATTGTCAAGACGCAATAAGCGTGGAAAGGACTGCCTGGACCGACGATAATGTAGCTCGCAGGTTTTGGAACTACAAAAACTCTTTGGTGAGTATTCATTTTGTTTACTTACACCGTATTTGTTATTTTGAGCTAGAAATGTACATATTTTCATTAATTGCAACCCTAACCCTAACTATGGTTTTCCCTTTTAATCAGTCAGCTGAAGGTCCGAAATGCAAGTTCTTTATGTGGAAAGACATAGAAATGGAAAAGGGTTACTATAAAGAACAGCTTCGTAAGATGAGGTTTGAGCTGAAAAGGAAAGAAGAGTTTGGTGAAGTTTCGAAGGTTCAAAAGAAGTTGGTTGAGTTGCAGCAAGCTATGGAAGCAGATAAGCAAGTGTTTGAGACACAGTTGATGGAGTTAACAAAGCAAATAGAATGTTGAAGTGTGGGATCTTTGTTATGGTAATTGTAGTCATTTCCATGTGGTTGAAATGGACTTGAATTGTGCAACAGATCAAATAAGTGTTTATGGTTGATGGTATATAATTCCAACCAGTTTGTTGGAAAGTGTATGGGTGGATGTTAAAAAGTTATTAGCTTTTTTGGGAAGTGTATGGGTGTATGGGTACATAGTCAAGGTTAGATCCTAGTTGTAATGTATAGTCAAGTTTTTGGTCGAATGCTTGTTTGATCGGTGTGTATGTATGGGATGTTAGATGTAATGGAATGTAGATGTAATGGGATGGCAGTACATGGGAACAATTGTAATGACTTTGTGTTGATTTAATGAATGTTATGAAATATCCTAGTTAAGATATACCTTGACGAATTTTATAATATGCATGTGCTCCTTTTATAAATTAAAGTGTGGGTACCACATTGTTGGCCATAAGGAACTCACTTGGTCCATTTAAAAGTGGATTGTCTTTAGAGTTTTGTGCAGGGATATATATGGAAAAGTAAGGATATATGGACCACTGACCACACGTGGTATATAAGGACATAATCAATCATAATTTTAAATTATCTATATATGCAAATATATTCCCTTGCCATGCATGCAACTTCAAATTAACACAACAAAAAGCTCAAAATAACAATCAACTTAAGTAACACAAAATACACATCACATAAACCAACATAGTTTCATACAAACTAGCATAGTTAATAGTAGTTTCATAAAAACAAAAACAATACACCAAAACACATCATTTAACACTACATACCATGTTCATATCACATAAACCAACACTTAAATTTATTCTAGAGTAACAGGTTTAGCTTCTGAATTCCCAAGTGCATTTGCACCACCAACTTTCTTGCCCAGTTTCAAATTGATAATCCTTTCAGATTTCTTCCTCCTGATTTTCTTCAACAGGGTTGCAAGTGGTGTTTCTCTAGCCTCCTGTTCTTGCACATGAACCTGTTGGGTTTTGAGCAATCTAACACTTCCTAAGTATGCATGCAACCCTAATAAACCTTGGATCTATGTTTGTCTAAATACATGCAAAATAATAATTTTCCCAAGGTTCATAACCTATCTAACATGGCATGGGGTACTTTTAAACATAAAAGAGTTAGATGAGATTACATACCTCTTGATGATGAGTTTGATTCCTAAGGAGTTTGAGGGCCAAGCACCAATAGTGTGAATACCTCAAATGGAATCATAAATCACCACAAACTCTTGGAAAACTTTGAGAGAGTGTATACACACACTAATTTCGGCCACACACGAACACACACACTAGTGACACTAGTGGCTATTTCATGCAACATAAGCATGCTTATATAGTGTACATGATTAGGGTGAAACCCTAATAACCAATGTCTTTTCCTTTCCAAGGATCCATGGGTTAAAAGCTCCATGGATCATCCATGGACTTCCATACAAGCCTAGCCCATTAACAAATGAGTATTATCCCACACTATATAAAATATAATAGCCCACAATTTAATTAGTCTTCCTTTTAATCTCTAAATTAATTCATAATTAATTTAAGACTAAGACTAATTAAATAACATGACTTCATATTAATATAGTATAACTTATAATATATTAATAAACATATGTGTATAACTCTCATAAAATTATCCATAAATAGTTTGGATGAAATGCAACCTAAATGGACCATGCCGGGTCGAGTCAAGTATATACCAAATAAGTTATGGACTTAGACACCTTATCCAATAGACTCCCACTTGGATAAGTCCAATAACTATATTTGCATATGTTACTTCAGGAACCAACCAACAATCGTAGCTCTCGAAAACTCTATTGAACTAAGAAGCGGCATTTTAGATAAGTGATCGTATAATCCTCTGTTCTCATGATATCAGCCGGACAAATACATGGAACAACGTCGTACTTATTGTCCAGCAGTTTGTTTCCCGATTTTCGATTTGTTTGACAAAGAACTTAATCGAACACATCAATTTAGTTCTGACCGGCCGGTACATAGGTCACAACAAAATCATCGAGGGGCCCAGATATCGCTTCTATTTCTAGAAGGAACAGATAAACTTCGACTCATATGCTTGTTCTACTACTTGTTGAATTGTACACAAAGGCACGTTTTATAACATCAAGTTACTGATGCGTTTACGTGCAATCAATGCACAACCAACTCATAGGTAACAACTCATATCTCTAGGTTTGAAGATTTATATGATATTACCGTCTCACGATCACTCGAGATAAATTCCATGAAGTGATACAAGTGAGCGTGGGTTTATTCCAATACTCATAACTTATGAGCACTCATGAATGTTGTAGCAACCATTGCTATGACTAAACCCATTTAGCCATCTACAAACTCGATTCATGACAGTCTTGATTCATACCTACTTCCAACATATGAACGACTGTGGAGTGTTTAAATAACTTAGTCATTCGGAAAGAATAACCTAGCTATTTTGGAAGTCAAAACATGCAAAGTGAAACACAATAATAATCGAATCCAATATGGTCTCAGAACCCTTTTGAATATAAACAGAACCACCTTTTATTTATCACCATATTGATTACACATTATTCATTGTATAATGTTTCAAACAATCAACTTAAGACTTGAATAAAAACAACAGTCGTCCCATGCTCCTGGCATGTACACTTTTTTTTTTCTAAACAATAGTTATGCCATACTCCAAGTATGCACACTATGTTTGTCTATGATCCTTACATTGTGATGTAGATCAATTGAACATGATTCCAATGATACTCATTTCACAATCCCAAATCCTTATTGTAAATGTGGGAATCCCCGATTCCTATCATTTACCAAAAATCTGTTAGATTTTAAACTTTTATGCAATGTTCCTCTTGTAATGATTATTCACAAAGTCACCAAAACCTTGTCACCAGTCATTACAGAGTATTCCAAAGAATGTCAACTTCTATGGAACGGAAGTCTCATATTCAAAGTACATTGCTTTGAACATCCTTCTTGCATTAAGGTTTTCTAATCTTACATATATTGAATAACTTCCAGCTATGGAGACATTTCCATAGTCCCATTTTGACTATCACTTCCGAACAAGAGTTACTTCTTTTCAGAACATGTCAATATGGTCCTTTCCGAAAACTTACATCATACTTCCAACTTTCCCTGAGCAACCAATCTTTAACGAACCTCATATTGTCCTCGATAATTGCTTAATCACTTTAGTCATATCCAGTTCTAGACTTTTTCCTTCTCAATGCCTTAAGCATTTGGAAAATTTAGAAAAGATGAATATTATAGCACATGCAATCGATCCTATATCCGAAGCATATGGTACACGATTCATGATGTTTGACATAAAGACATGATACTAGACCAGTCTTTTGCTACAATATTTTTTATTTGCCATGTTTTCAAAATTTAACTATGAAGAGGGATGTCGTAGTCATAATTGAATTTTGAGAACGCAATATATATAGAATTTGCTTAAGTCGAACCATTCAGACATAGAATTCTTATATATGTCCTTGACTAAAGATGATTAAAATCTCAATCTAAGCTTCTAGAATTGAAATGAAGTATAATTTCCTCTCCCTTAATTATAGCAAAACAATTTTTCAACCCCTGCAACTTCACGAATTGAAACTTTTGTTTTTCTATAATTAACATTGCTGAATTGCAACACTAAACGTAATAATCATGCTCCTACTAACATGTTGATTATCAGCATAACATTTATGCTCCCACTAGCTTTGACATGTATTCAGAAATCGGTTGGACTTCTAAAATTTAGATTCATACACCTTTCCATAGATAGCTCACCTGTGTGTTTAAGGAATTTCAAGAACTATGAAAAGGGATGTCGTAATCATAGTCTCAATTTCTTAGACCTTTGCCATTTCTCACAAGTCCATGTTAGTGTGCCGGTTAACCACACACGCTCCACTAACGACTTTTGAAAATGCAAATAACACAATTGATATCTACGTAAAATCTACTTAGTGAAAGCATTTCCTCACCATCATTCTCATGAATCGGAGAGAAACCTTACGACACTTAGATTTTATGGTGTATGAATTCCTATCCATGTGAATTTGTCAAAACCATAATCACAACATAAGGTTAGTGATAAATTCAGCCTTACATGGATTTAACTTGTTCAATCTTAGTTTCTTGTCACCTTGGTAGCACAAGGCCCACCAATGCTTCCAAGTTGAACTCTGATAACTCACATGCAAATTCAACTTATTTGAAGTAGGTACAGAAATAAGAATTATGTCAACACGATAGCTTGCAAACCTTAAGTCGTGTGCTAGTGATAAATTATAGGTTTTACTCTTGATTAAATCTTGAAACTCTTTAAGGATCTTTAAGGCTCCCACTGTCCCCTTGATATATAAGTTTCCCCAGTCAAGAACCATTCCTTGACAAAACAAATATTCAAGGGATAGTGCGGATTCTTATCAAGACTAACACTTCATAGAATTGGTCTTAGTTGGTCTTTGTCTCATCCAAGACATCACAACTTACCAATCTCAAATGTAAAAAAGTAGAGAACATTTTACTCTTACATTTGACCAGTGTTAATAAATCTTCCTTTATGTCACTCAAGGTTACAATCTTGGAGTATGACTCTAAGAATTGTTTTGGAACGAAGTATGACTCATCTTCTTGATTTTAACCAATCCAACAATTCATGACCTCTCTTCTTAGCCATAACAATGCACTAAGACGTCCTTAGAGTATGAATTTATTATATGGTTTCATAATCATTAAGATGACCATGAAATATGATACTAAAGTACTCTCCCTTCCTTTCAGATTTGAGAAACTTTTATCTTTCTGCCTAAGTTGATTCTTCTCATTTGTTTTGTCATACATTGTATCCTTTCCAATGTTACAGAATTATACTTAACCTTATAAGTATAATCATATTTACTAATCTTTAGTAAATCATGACAAATCAATCTTTGTGGTGGACCTTGACCAGCGCACACCCAGTGTACCTAATTCCTTGGTCCTTCAATTGACTCACATATACATGTGATCAAAGAATTAGTCTTAATTTTCAAAGATGAAAATTCTCATTCATCATACAATACAACTTGTATGATTCCAAGTTTCTGTCCAATTGAAACTTGGGTGACGAAAAACTTTCTTCATTTGGTAAATTCATACACTACCACAAATGAAAGAATCAAATCCACTTGCTATTACTGGAACCATATAAGCAACAATTTTCCATAGATGTCATTGTAAGGATACTTTTAAAATAAATAAAATTAAAACCCCTTTTTTTTCTTTTTTTTTTAAAACTTTGCGGAAAAACTTATCCTTACAATCCACATGAAAGCCTTGTTGTTATCTATTCATAAACAATATATTATAACTCTTAAGCAACAACTCAAAATTCTGATTACCGAACCATGCGATCGAAACCCACCTTCGCAATCAGAATCAACATATACTTACTTTAAGCTTCCTATCTTTTCTTTGATTCTTAAAACATCAGCATGTGACCCATTCACATTATGTAATAAGAATCTCCAAATAGGAACTTAATAGAGTTAGACAGTGGATTTTAACTGAAGTAGAGTCAAACTTTTTGACTTGATCAATCTTATGATCTTTCAGGTAAATATAGCAGCTTCGCAATCAGTGTCCCTCCCTTTGGCAATAAAACACATGGACCCTTTGGTAATGGCACATGAGACTATCTCAAACTTAGCCTTTCTCTTTACCATTTGGTCAACCGAGTTGACTATAGTCGATCCCTTTCCATTGGGAAGAGAAATCTTTTCTAGATATCCAATGCTACCATTACCAATGTCCATTTAAGGTTCGGGAAGTTGATCTTCTAATAAAATGTGCTTTACTAGTGTTCCAAATCATTGTTGAATCTGCAGCACTGAGCAAATAGATAAGATCATTAAGGCTCGTGTCATAGTCTGTCTCATAGTAGTCCCAAAGAGACTCACTATGTTACTAAGAAAGTGATTGAACATCCAACTTTCACGAGACTTTGACACCCAACTCTCCCGGCTTGTCAATATGTGACTTTATCTCCAATATGTGAGCGCACATAGACTATGCTTGCCAATAGGGATTGAGTGAATTTAAACTTTTCAAGAACTTGTGGGTGAGGGAGAATAATTGGAGGAGGTGGAGGAAGTGAAGCATGATGTTGAGGGACACCATCTTCAGGAGATTTGGGAAGATCATAGTTGTCTGAACCAGACATCTATAATGGGAGAAAATCAAGTTAGTTGATTCAAAATCCTTAATATGACACCCAATATGAAATATTAAGGCTAGGACCCAACACAATATTTTATAACTTGGAAGAGGGATGCCGTAATCCAAGATATAGAATATTTGAAGGTAGGTGAATGACGATTCACCAATGTCCACCATGAAAAACGAAATAATTTATTAGGTTTTAATTGGATTTGAAATTCCTAGATCTTTTGAGATTCATTGAACTTTTCAATGGCACGTTTCAATCTCGAGTGTGCCCTTTCAAATTTTGTGACTGGGATGCCGAGGATCACAAAACAAGGTGTGAATAACCATACCAATTCGCTTGGTACCCTTAATATTATCACCTAATCAATGTGCTGGTTAACCACACATGCTCCATTGATCTATGACAACCATTAAGTCACCCTTCGTGATCCTTACTAGTCCAAATTAGTGTGTCGGTTAACCACACACGCTCCACCAACGACTTGGTAAGGTACAAAGTGTGAATTCCATGGGCTAGCACCAAATTCACATTTTTACTAAAGTAACTAAGATTGGGAATTAAATAAAAAAAATTTAGTTACTTTATAATAATCATTATACTTTTAATGAGAATTTAAAGTCATTGTCCTACCCGTTCGGCTAACGACCCTCCACCGATCAAGCAAGCGGTGGGTGAGAGTGGACACCCATTAAGTCGCCATTTTATAGGCAACAACCTTATACCCACCTTATAGACCGGCTTCGTGAATGAGGCCTACTAACGGTAAAACGACTTGTTCTTATACATATATATATATATATATATATATATATATATATATATATATATATATATATATATATATATATATACCATTAATGTTATAAATAGTATAAGTGTTGAATTTTAACTTTTAAAATTCTAAGTGTTGGAATTAAAGTTTATTAAAGTGTGTGAAACTTTTCCAAATTCCAAAACTTGAGGGCAAGTTTTGTAACTCTTCAAAACTTTTCATTTCATAACTTATGAATTAAAGGTTCATAAAATGAAGACTCTTCATTTTATGTAACTTATGTGTTTTTAATGTGTGTTAAAGAAAAGTGACCTTTGGATATCCATAACTTGAGGAAAAATTATGGACTCCATTAAAACACATAAATGATCAAGAATTAATCCTAAACAATTCAGCAAATAATTCCTATCATCTTCTAAATTCATAAGAACATGAACATGATTATCAAAGTTTCAAGAATTATATGAACATATACAAAGCATGAAATTTTGATATATGCTATTGTAAATGGATTAGAACAACCATTACACCAACTAAAATAAGTTTTAAAACATCAAAACAGTTTAGGGTAAAGTTTCTAGTCCATTTCCAGCAGCAAAAGTCGAAAATCTGCATTCTGAACCTTCTACTCGCCGAGTGCATGAACCTACTCGGCGAGTAGGATGAATTTTGCCTTGGACTCAGCGAGTCCATCATGCAGACATCAAAAATTTCTACTTTTTTCACTATTTTGCATCAAGTATCAAACAAGCAAGCCTAGGCTCTGATACCACTGTTGGGTTTTGAGCAATCTAACACTTCCTAAGTGTGCATGCAACCCTAATAAACCTTGGATCTATGTTTGTCTAAATACATGCAAAATAATAATTTTCCAAGGTTCATAACCTATCTAACATGGAATGGGGTACTTTGAAACATAAAAGAGTTAGATGAGATTGCATACCTTTTGATGATGATTTTGATTCCTAAGGAGTTTGAGGGCCAAGCACCAATAGTGTGAATGCCTCAAATGGAATCACAAATCACCACAAACTCTTGGAAAACTTTGAGAGAGTGTATACACACACTAATTTCGGCCACACACAAACACACACACTAGTGACACTTGTGGCTATTTCATGCAACATAAGCATGCTTATATAGTGTACATGATTAGGGTGAAACCCTAATAACCCATGTCTTTTCCTTTCCAAGGATCCATGGGATAAAAGCTCCATGGATCATCCATGGACTTCCATACAAGCCTAGCCCATTAACAAATGAGTATTAGCCCACACTATATAAAATATAATAGCCCACAATTTAATTAGTCTTCCTTTTAATCTCTAAATTAATTCATAATTAATTTAAGACTAAGACTAATTAAATAACATGACTTCATATTAATATATTATAACTTATAATATATTAATAAACATATGTGTATAACTCTCATAAAATTATCCATAAATAGTTTGGATAAAATGCAACCCAAATGGACCATGCCAGGTCGGGTCAAGTATATACCAAATAAGTTATGGACTTAGACACCTTATCCAACAGAACCTGACTAGGTTCTCCATCAGTTGATACATCAAACTCCAAAGGAGTGAGTTCCACCTCATCATAGTCTTGTTGCACATGCACCTCATTGACTGCTTCTCCACCATCATTTACTGTTCCTCCATCATTGACTGCATTAGATTGATTACCTTCATCATCCTCATTGAGAGCTTCAGCTACACCCTTATTGACCAATAAAGAAATTGTAAAGATTAACCATTTAAATACTTATGTACCTGTTTGGTTTTTCTTTTAGCTTTGGTTTTAGGAGTCCTTGTTAAAGTACAAGCTCTTTTGTTCTGTCCTTCAATCTTACAAAGGCTACATTTTTGTTTTTTCCCAGCCTTGGATACCTTCACCTGCTCCTTACCTTTGGTTTGTGTTTGGCTAGTTGTCTTTGATTTTTTACTTGATTGGTTTGGGTTTTTTGTTGCATCCCTTTTCTTTTTAGTTGCAGGTCTCCCAGGCATAGCTCTACAAACAGGAGGTAAAGGTGGGGTGTAATTAGTTGCAGGCCACAAATTACTTCCATTCATAGGTGCTAGCCTAAACTTGTATGCCTTCATATAAGTGATGCTACTAAACATTTTGTCCACATATGACTTTACATCCCTATTCATAAAACTAATAGCTGCAACATAATGGACACAACCGATTCCATTAAGCTGCCAAAGCCTGCATGAGCAAGTTCTTTCTTCAAGATCCACTTCATAAGCATCTGTAGTTCCTCTTACTTCCAACTGATTTAGTCCACTAGGTAAGACTTGGTAATGTATTAGACCCTTCTTAATGTCATTCGCTATTTCTCTAATTGTTGGACAAATTTTGTTGCCCCATCCTAGACCCTTGCATTTCTTCTAGAACACCCTCTCCATCATATACATCCTCAACTCCTCTAGCATGGTGATAATTGGTTTCTTCCTAGCATCAACAATCACAACATTAAAACTTTCTGACATTCCATTCTCTACAACATCACAACATCTTCATGGTTGGAAATAAGCCCTTGACCATGTTTTGGGGTCTTTATCCATCAGATACTGATAAGCACTTGGGTCTAGCACTTCAAGCTCTTTCATGGCAACCTTAAAATCTACCTCTGTTGTTGCTTTACATGTCTTCCAGAATATGCTTTCATATTGGGCACCAATATACCTTTTCCTAAGGTTTTGGCTAATATGCTTGGCACACTACCTATGCTCTACATATGGAAGGAGTTCTTTCACAGCCTCAATCAAACCCTGTTAACAAATTCTAAATATAGTGAATAAGGATGCAAATAGATAGGAAAAGTAATTACAAACATTTAAATTACCTTGTGTTGATCAGATATTACACTGTATCCATAGCCCAAATTATGTCCTAAGTCATCAATGAGTAAATCCAAAAACCACCTCCAATTTTCCTTATTCTCCACACATACTACTGCCCATGCAATAAGATAAATCCCATTGTTTGCATCCCTTCCAACAACAGATAATAACTCCCCTTTACAGATCCCTTTAAGGAAACAACCATCTAAACCTATTATCTTCCTGCATCCCTCCTTCCACCCCTTCTTTAATGCATCAAAGCAAACATAGAACTTACTAAAGTAGTTCTTCCCATCTGGCATATGATTTACATCAAGCTTCACAGTGCTACCTGGTTTGATCTCGTAATCTCTTCTGCATACGACCATAACTTTGCATAATGTTCAACTAAGGTACCATCTATTAGTTGGAGTGCATATTTCTTAGCTCTCCTGCATTGACCAACACTAACATGAATGCCAAACTTTTGTGACATAGCTGTTCTTAGCTTTCTAACACTCATCTTTTGTCTAAGTAAGAACTCTCTTGTATAATGACTCCCTATCCAAGCATAAGTGACCATGGACCCTAACTTGTAGTTCCTTGCACATTTGTGGATTGGCTTTAAAACTTAATTTGGAAGCTTGCTTCATCACTCATCCAAGATGCCCATAGCCTAAATGAGCACTCACCCTTGCAACACTTAACCAACAATCTTTTCCTATCATTTTTCTTAAAGCAAAGTTGGTACCCATTCGCAATAGCATAGTTGCATAACATCGATTTTAATTGAGATGGATCTTTGAACCTCATACCAAGTATTGGGATTTGCTTTTTCCATGGAACTAACTCATTAAAAATGGAATGTTGTTCAGTTACATTGGCATCCTCTTCATGCTCATCATGATCATTTATGTTGTTATCATTTCCCTCTTCCTCTTCGTCACATAATCTATTTAGAAATTCGTCACCCTTTCTCATTAATAGTGACTATGTCCTCATTAAAGTCCACATCCACATCTATTAGGTTATCAATTTCGTCCTCATTCTCACCACCATCAATGCAAGAATCATCTCCATCCTCCTCTTCTATTTCATATTCGAACCAATCTTCCATTCATTGACCATCATGGTCCACATACATACAAATTTTACCATCTGTCCCATATGCATGAAAAATGAAACCACCATAGTCTTCATCATTAGCGATAGCAGTTATCCCAGATATTAAAGGCTTACCTGGTTCACAATAGTATAACTTCTTTATACTTTCTTGCATGAACCGTTCGAGAAAGGTGATACATTCACCGTATGTCATTCCATAAAAATCGTGATCATTGAAAGTGAAATTGATACCATGGTTATACGAGAAATGATTTCTAAGAAAAACACCTTTGAAGTTCAGCTCCACTATAGGGTAGAGTCCATCAGGGTTTGGCGTCGAGCTAGACATTGTGGGTTGGTTGACTGCTTACTAACTTCGATCAGAGAAAATGACTTCGAACCCTAGGTTTAGTGTTTCGTATTTCACTATAAGATGAGAAAAAGAAAGAACGAAGGAGTGTTCTAGCTAAATAAATGTGTTTATTTTGACCTCTAAATCCTACGTGGATAAAATAAATGAATTATATTATGTAAACTTATTCCACGTAAGCAATATCACCGGTTGTTCCGTTTACCTGGTGCATAAGGGAGTAATTAGCTGGTAGTTACTAATATTAAGGATCAATTGAGTACAAAAAAAAAAAAAAAAAAAAAAAAAAAAAAAACTTAAGTGACTAAATGTACAAATTGACCAAACATTGATGTGCTACAGTGTCAAAATCCCAATAAATAAATAAAAACCGCATATAAATCACATGATAAACATTTATATGTGAGCAACCACAGAACGCGAAAAAAACTCACATTGTTATCGTTAAGCCTTAGCCGAATCTTGTTACGTTACACGCACCCTGCATTCCACCTGTACATTTTTCTAAGGCCAAAATTCCAAAATTATCATATGTGTTCATTTTGGTTCCACCACATCATATATGTTTCGTTCGGTCAGCCAATCATTATTCAATTATTTCGTTATTCCATATTAATAAGATTTATTCTTTTAAATTAACATTTTCAAATGTCAAACAACTAAATTTCTAAATAATACATGGCTAAAGTAATAATTAAAATGAGATGACCATATTGTTTCTACATTAAAGCATTCGGTTTTAGAAAAATAAAAATTGCTAAACATAAAAATTAGGGATCAGTTTTGGGAACTTCAAATTCTACTAGAAAATAACGTATATTTTTAAATATATAAGGAATCATCAAATTATTAACTCTTAAGGGGTCATTTATGAAATTTCAATTATCAATTCAAAAAGTGATGATAAGGAATTCGATCGCAAATAGCCCCCTGTTTATACGTGGGCCCTTTTGTTTTCTTTAGCCCTGTTTATACGTGGGCCCTTTTGTTTTCTTTAGAATTTTTTTTCTTTAGCCCATAAACAGAAAGAGCCCCGAAAAACCGCCATCTTTACCCGAATTCTTTTCTCTTTTTCAGTCATTTTTAAGTGCATAAGAGCTTCGATTTTTACAAGGACTACCACCAAATAAAGATATAAAATACTCATCGTCAGTCTCCATTATTTACTATTATGTTTTCACGTTCAATTAATGAAAACAAAATCTCACACCAGATTATTTCAGAAAATATAACCAAAGATATATATACCCAAAATCCATCGATTATTAGCCAAACAGAGATATGAGACGGAACCAAAACACGTAGTGTGAACCACTAACCCTAAATAAGTGATTATATTGTGCTTCATTTGAAGGAAATACCTTAATTTCTTGAAAGAATACCAAAAATCTTCACAGCCTTCTTCCTCCGATTTCTCACTCGAATCTTCATATCTTTTTGTAATTCTAGTGGGCATTCCACTTGGTTTCTCGAGCCTTTAATAATGATCATGGTTGCAACGGTCATAACCCCTTCACATGCACGGATTGGTTTTAGGGTTTAATTCTCATTATTTTCCCTAATTAAACCTAATTACACATAGTTATAATTCTTAAAAAAAAAAAAAAAAAAAAAAACTGATATAATCAATTAATTATGATATACCATGTATTTTTTTTTTTTTGAGTTATCACATTATATTTTCTTTTTATATTATTTATTTGTTATTCATTGTCATTTTTTACGATAATAAATGATGAAAAAAATCAGGTATCTAGAATCGGAATCGAAACCAAACCTGAAACCGAAACAAGCACAAAAGGTTTTGGGCCGATTCCAATTATTTATGAACCGATATGACCAATTCCAGTTTCTTTTCCATCATTCTAAAAACCATCGGCTCTGGTCGGTCGGTCGTTTTTATCAAAGTGACTTCAATGCCGATTCATTTTAGTCCGATTGATTTTTGTACACATCTAATAAAACATCAAAATTTGCCAAAAACTTAATCACATCAAAATAGTACATGGGCTGGTTACATGAGATAGCCCAAACAAAATCCATAGTCTATAATCTATATTAATGCTATATTTGATTACGGAACACGGCCCATTCTTTTATCAACAACGAATTCCCTCGCCTATAAGTATTATCAAAACCCAAACATGAGATAGCCCAAACAAAATCCATAGTCTATAATCTATATTAGCTCACTTTTTTCAAAGTCCCCAACACAACTTAGCCCAATAACCTAATCTCATAAATATTATCATTGGTTCACAGTTTTACTGTTCATTTGGCTCCAAGAAAACCATATCAAAAGTTATTAATTCCCACACTTACACAGCCGATGCTTTCACAATTTTTATTATGGATGTGACGTGATCTTATCTCTAGCTTAAATTCAGGATAGTTAGTAATAACCCACAATTTTAAACAACCAGTGGTATTTGATCATCTGATGTTATAATCTTCCCCACTGAATTTCTTTAACAATCTGTACTTTACACCCTAGCCAAAAGTTATAAGAGACCCACACTCTATGACTTATAATGAAGAAGCTCACAGTTATTAAATCAAAGTTATATAGTATCACAAATAATATTTGTCATCCTATTTTTGTAGAGAAATCTCACATCTCTACATGGCTTATCAATCTTCAATATGGTTCATCTTTTTTTATGTAATACGCACTCTACTTTAAAAGTTAAATCAACCACAACGCCTAGTAAACGCTTCACTAATGCCTTTGTGCTCGTCTTCTTATTCTTTACCGACCTTGTTGATGTGTCTCTTGACATATAAGTTCTTTCTACTTCAGCCTATTGCGAGGAAGAAGCATTTGTGACAGATTCAATCGAAGATGTTTCCGACTTGTACTTCTTTCTTTGAGGAGGCGAGGCAACAATAGGTGGACTATGTGGGACCGGACTATGTTGTCGTGGGGGAGACTTTTCATGATTAAGAGTCCAATTGACAAAGCGAATATAAAACGGCAACATCAGCTCCTTCGGGTTTGCCACAACAGAAATAGGTTGGTTGTTAAGCGGCAAGAATCAGATTGTTAGTTTAACATGAAAAACATTGGAATTTGTAATTATATATGATCCTTAATATACAAAGAATACCACAAACACGTTGATTATTCGATGACAATGAAGCCAAGATAACGGTGTTTTACTTCTCCATAACCTCATCCGTGGCAATTATGTCGACGTGCGTATATAAAACTGGGTTGCCTCTAGAAACGTCTCCAAAATCCATTTCTATGGAGAAAAAAAGTAAGTATCATGCTATTATAGTATAAAAATGAAAATACAATGGTATTATATACTACAAACCGAAGTTCAATGTTATTATCGTATAAAAAACAAAACTATGATAACTATTTAAATGCATTAGAAACTAACGTTAAACGAAAGCATAAAACCGGCAACGGTATACTTGTGTGCTTTCTTGGATTTGGGATTGACCTGCTTGAATAGTTTAACTTTTTCTATTTTCTCAAACATTCCACGCATCAAGCCTGAAGTATACGTCTTGAAATACTAACCCCATGCAAACCTGCAATTTTCAACTTATTTGTTATAATTATTATTGTATTTATACACAAATTTTAAATGTAATACTTGTTCCAATCCTCTATATTATCAACAAGTTTGTATACTGCCGTGGGAATGCACGTTTTAACATCCCGTCTGTGGAGACCTTTCAACATAAAAACAAGCTCGGTAAACATTACAACATCTTCATCTTGAAGTGACAAATAATTTGGAGACATAATTTAGTCTTCTAAATCTTTCAAGCGCAAACGTGCATCAATAATTTTTGGGAACAACTAAGCACAAAGATTTGAATTTGACCAACCTCTTTCGGCATAGAGTAAATCCACATAAGGACCAACTTTTAAAACACAAATCAAAATATATTCAGTTTCACTAAAATCCAACTGCATCCCCTATATCTAAAAAAGAAACCTTCCCATTTCAAACACTTGTTGAGACTTACTTCATGCAACATCATCAAATGCACAAGTAAGGAGTCACCATGGGGGATATGCATTCCTAAGAATTTTCCAAACTGCGAAGCTTCAAATAATACTCGTTGTGTTTGTGTTAGGCGCGGAAAATAGTCTTTAATGATCATACACACCACTCCTTTTAAAGTTCAATTTGTTTTTTAATTGAGATCATCGTGCTACAAAACATATACATTTAATTTCATATAAAACGTTAGTAATTGAAAATAAAAAACAAGGTTTCAAAATTACTTTTCTAATTCGGTTTATGAAATAAATAGCAATGTACTTTTTATATAATAATAAGTAAGTTTATATGAAAGGGCAGGAAAAAATGGTGGAACTAAACGTAAACATAACACTATTGTAAAAACGTAAACAATGTTGTAAACATAACACTGAATCTGCATAAATCCATCATGATTGGCTAATGTGTTATTGATTACTCATGATTAGGAACTAAACATTTGAACATGAACTTTATTACGAACATAGGTATTATGATAAAGA